TTGTCCCTTCCCAGACTTTATTTTGTTAAAAACCTAGTTTCTTTAGACAATTTGAAAATATCTTAAATTGTTTTAAAATAGTTCAAGACTAGTAGGTTTAGAAACATTGGAATAGTAGGTTTAACTGCGTTTGCAACCAGTAATACTATCTTCCCAGTTGAACATGGAAGGGTTTTAATCTTTTCAGGATACGAATCACCTGAATAAGACAGGTGTTTAAAATGTTTCATAAAATATGTTATAAAGGAATTTGTACATTTTTCTAAGCAAAACATATTATTTAAGGAGAAAGTTGAGATAAAATATCCTTATATTATGGTTGGGTTCATTTATTATCAGATGCTACAAAATTGTTAATGTTCCTTATGACAGGTTGATAGTTTTTCTCCAATATCTACTCTTTTTTCTTCTGATTTTTAGCTGGGTAAATAACTACCTGGAATTAAGTCTGTATTTTCATGCACCTCTCAGCCCCAAAACTTTGTGTATCTTGTGATTAAGTTCTAAGGGCACAGTAGATTCTGTTTATAAAAGCTCCAAATTGTTTCCTTAAAAAGGAATGCAGTACCTTTATTTTTCTCCTTTCATTTCTACTAGAGCAACAAGATGGGAGCAATCTGATCCCTAACTTCAAAAGTGCTCAGCTATGTTTCTAGGAAAATGTTTTCCAAAGCTATGGAGTCATCTCTAAATTTTTCACTACTGCTTCAACATCTTTCTGTGGTGACACATTCATACCATGCCTAACATCAAAGTTCTATTAGCTGAAATACAAGTCCAAGGGTAAGTTAATGCTAATTCACAAAGGGAATATGATGATTCTAATTATTTTAGTATCAATAGCTAGAAAAACTTTATGAAATATTCTCTGCCATTTTTTCTTGCCACAAATTGCATCCCCATGCAATCTACTCTGTCATTAAATACTTCCAATTGTACATTCATGAAATTTCTCCCATTTACTTCATACTAAATGATCCCCGTAGTTCTTAATATTGGGCGACTTTAGTCTCCTTTGAAAATATTATACACATGATTAGATCATTTTATCCAGAAAAAAGGGACATACACTCAAAATACTACATGTAATCTCATAGGAACATAAAACTCCAAAAGTCTGGGGGCATGTGAAATTCTCATTAAGAAACCCTGGTTTATATTTTTGCTCTTCCTACACATGGCAATACTCTTTATTCTTATATAATAATCCTTTACATCTTCTCATTTCAGCATTCTCTACCCAACTGTTAATGTGTGTGTTAGCCAGTCATCTAGGCGCTTTTATAAAATACACCTGCACATTCTCTATACCACACCTAGTGAGTCAGAATTTATGGGGCAGGAAAAATGGTGTGTCTACATAAAGCTTGCTCAGTAGTTCTGACAGGTCCTCTGGATTGAAGCATTATGCCATATTGACTGGAAACAGATTAATCTTGCACCTTACAACCTTGCATCTGCCTCCAAATATTTAAAAGGTCCTCAGTGCCTACTGGATTGTAAAATTGCATGACCTCCAGGAGAGCCTCTCTGAACTCTATAGGAACTCCACAAACTCATTTCAGCTTACCTTTTATTAGGCGCTCAATTTCTACCTTTCCAACAAATGCACCTAACTTTGCAACAACATTCACTGCTAAACATAGCCCATCTTTCCTATTCCTGCACATTTGTATATACTGTATATTTTCCCAGAAACCCAAGCCCCTCCATCACTTTCTCAAGAAATCCTTCCTATCTAGGGATGAGCTAAATGTAGCCTCCACCAGGGAACTGTTCTTCATTTTCAATGACTAAAATAAATGTCATTTCTAGAATCCCAAAATATTGTGTTTCCAACTCCTTTGTAGATCAATCACATTCTGACTTGATAACTCTTTTGTTTTTTAAACAAATTCTCATAAGAACATAATATTTTGTCAAGAAAGAATTCTAACTTTATTTTGTATTTCCTCCTACCTAGCATAGGATCATGTTCTGTATAGATTATGAATGAATGGGTAGATGGATAGAAGAATGAATAAAAAGATTTAAGAGTTGGGAATCCAGTTTGTAACTGTCTGTAATTTCACTTGTTCATAGGGCTTTATAAAATAATGAATTTAACAATCAAAGTTTATCTGTTTAGAATTACGATTTGAGACAGAGTTGAGGACTAATAATGAAGATGAAAAGAAACCATCACAAGGCATTGAGGTAATCCCTTCACACTTAAAAAAGAGAGAGAGGTAATGTCCAAATTCTCCATTAATATTGTGTCTAGAAGACCCAAGGCTTTATTGAGCTTAGATAACTCTTGGAGAGGGATCAAGACAAAACACCAGGAAAGAAGAAATCTCTTCTACTCTATGCTTTTAAAGAAATTGTAGTATTCTTCTAAAGGAGAAAGATGTAACAGAATAAGTACATAAAAAATTTTAAACATTTAATGCAAAGCTCCTAAAAGCCCTAAAAAGAATTTCTTTTCATCATAGTAAAGTATCGAATTATTTCTATGTCACTTGGGTTGAATGGTCAAAAGTTCTGATGCAATTTAATGCAAGGTCCCACCTAACATAATTAAGTACTTAGTCATCCTTGGCTGTAGAATACTTAAAATTTAAAGCTTAAAACTTTCTCGTTATGACTAAGAAATAAAAGTGAAAATACTTTTCAAAAGATTTTAAGTTTCATTGAGACCTGCTTGATTGAAGTGTAAAATCACTTGTAATTGATAATATTTATTATTAATCAAAGGTTAATCTGGATATGCATGTACACAGCTTGCACTTTTAAATCAGAGAAGATTTTACAAAAGTTTTGCAAAACTACATTGGCTGCTATTGATTGCCATTTTAAAAACTTGCTTATTAGTATTTTTTCTTATATAAAATTTTAAAAATAAATTTTCTCATGTTAAGAATGAAGAAGGAATTATGACTATGGTTTTATAGCTTCAAAAAGGCATAATATAACACTCAAATAATCCTCTGATGATCATGAAAATCCCAAATAAGTCTCAAGAAGACACAAGACAAGGCTTGTAGTAGTAAGCCAAGATTTGTGAAATGAAATTGATTTCCATTCAAATCAGGTCTTTTACTCTTCTTGAAAATGTCAAGGTGTCAGCCTTGACCATTACGGGACTGTGATTTATAGTTGAGACAAAGCGATAGTACCAGCTGACTGTCTGGAGCCATGGTACAGTGTCTGGGAAGGCTGCCGATGACAGCCACCTCTTTTCTTAACCAATCAGCAAGGCTATGTAAGACCCGAGTCTTTTTTTCCTCTGTCTTGATAAGGGAATGATAAAATACTATCTGGAAGATTTACTTTGTGGGAAAAAAACAAGCATTGTGAAGGGAAGGAGGTATCATTTTTCCACAGAACAAATTGCAAATATTATTTATGGCAATCTATACTACAGCCCTTTAGAAATACATATTCATAATGAGACCATAAACAGATGTTCCAAATATGACAACTTATTTTAATATACTGGAAGCCACAGCATAATTTTGTAATTTGATTAATTAGTAAGAAGAATTGTGAATGTTAAAATACATATTCAAACTCTCTAAATTATATTTATGGCTTTGCTCATCTGCATCACAACAAAAGCACAAAATGTTTTGCATTAGAACCATTATTCATAGTAAATTAATCTTTTTATCATTGAGAAAGATTCCTAAATAGTAGTTCTTGACAGTAAAATGTTAAAAACCACCCAGGTCATACTATGATAAATAAAAGAGCAAAAAAGTAAAGGATAATAAATAAGAATCTAACATCCTTATTTTATAATTGTATCCATCATATACACATCATACACACACACATATGTATATATAATGCATATGTACGTGTATAATAGTAATAGAGGAAGAAATTACTTCATAAACAAAAATAAAAATTTCCAAGAATCAACACATAATTATTTCTAACGCTGGAGATAAAAGCGAGAATATAAAATTTGCTTTAAGAAAATGGCCTGAACATAAGGTAGCTAAGGATAGACACAATAGGCTACAGAAAAAAATCATCAGGCTGGGCGTGGTAGCTCACACTGTAATCCCAGCACTTTGGGAGGCTGAGGCGGGAGGATCATGAGGTCAGGAGTTCAAGGCCAGCCTGGCCAACATAATGAAACCCCATCTCTACTAAAAAAAAATACAAAAATTAGCCAGGTGTGGTGACTCATGCCTGTAGTCCCAGCAACTTGGAAAGCTGAGACAGGAGAATCGCTTGAACCCAGGAGGTGGAGGTTGGAATGAGTCAAGACCACACCATTGCACTCTAGCCTCAGTGACAGAATGAGACTCTGTCTCAAAAATAAATAAATAAATCATCATCTCTTCTTTACCAAACTAGTTCTAGTAATCCTAAATAATTTTTAATATTTCAAATTCCTAAATGAGACCAAATGCTGACTTTCATGGTATATATCATATATTAAATGCTTATGGAAAGCGTTAATAAAGGTAATTAATTTCATGACACTTAAGGCTGAGATTTGCTGCAGAAGATGTTTTATAGTTTCCATGCTGTACAGAGGACATTTGGCAGAATAAACTAATACTGGCTGCAGATTGATAGGTATCAGTAAGTTTACCAAGACATTTTCAAAAGCCTGTCAATCATTATTATACTCAGTGATGAAAAACTGTGCAGTGGTGGTTGTGTGTCCCATTACATTCCCACCTGCTTTAAATTCCTTTCACATTCTACCATTGACAGACCCTCACTCATCCTCATGACTTGGATAGGCTAGTCTTCTTTTGCTTCCCTACATTAGCCACCCAATCAGAGTAGCCCTTGTTTATTAAGTAAGTGGATCCACAGATGGCATGTCACCAAAACAGAGCCAATCCAAGATTTTCTGACAACTGAAACTGATGCTGGGGTAAAGGGAACCTTTTTGTTTGTTTGTTTTTTCCTGGATTCACAGGCTGTAGGATGTTGCATGATGCAAGTCTGGAGTGGTGGGTGGCCATCTTTGCTACCACACTGAGAAAGCTTACCTGAGAATGAAGTCAACACTGGAGAGAAAGAGAGAGAAATATCAGGTGAGAGGGAGAGGCAGAGCCAGCAGAGAGAACTTGGGGGAGGGTGTGAAGAATAGATGCATTAATGAATAAATATCTTATTTTAAGCTGACAAATTATACTTAGGAACTGATGAATTCCATGTGGGCTTCATTCTCAGGTAGACTCTTTCCACAATGGCAACAAAGATGGTCACTAGCAAGCCCACGCCTCCATTCTCCTTAAAATTTGCAATTCTTGAAGTCAAAGAAAAACCATCTTTTTTTCCAATATCTATGTTACTTTTAAAAGAAGACATTAAGGAAAGTCTGCATGAAATTTCATTCATCAGTAAAGACCACACTGGCCTTGAATAAACTTTATAAGCAGTTTTTATAAAGAAAATCAACATTGGGGTCAATAAAATATATTTTCTTATAAATGTGGGTATTCCTTATAGAAACACATGTCTTATAGATAGGTAAATAGTAGGCAAAGAGAATTTCCTGACTCAATCACTAAGAGATAAGGTAGGGATTACATTTTATATCTTAAATTTAGAAACACATAGTCCTATTATTTATTAGAAAATTGCTCTTTCAGAGTTACATAGAAAATATTTTAAATCATAGAGCTGAATAAAAGAAAATGAACTGGAAAGAATATACAAGTTGAACATTTTTCTTTCAAGGTAAGATAAGCATTTGTTATATGTCTAATTGCAAAAAAAAGAAAAAAAAAATTACCTCTTTGTCCCATGAATATATTTGGTTGTTTTTAGTCATTGCACTAGGTGGCCTTCACTAGAGAGCATCCCATGGAAAGAAAACACGTTTTCTTTAAACATAAGATACAATTCCTTTGAGATTCTATTAATCACTTTTCCTCTCTAATTGAAAAAGTCACCACATAGAGTACAAATTTCATTCTTCTAGATAGAACCTTAAAAGTTGACATTTCTTTGAACAATTGTTTCAGAAATCCTTTTTTAAGTACATTTTCATTTTCTGGCATGGCTTGAATTGAATTCTAAACTTTCGGCTGCTTGTCCTCTAAGCCCCTCTGGTGAATTTAAATAGGCTTCCCTATATATTTAGTACATTCAAGAATTCTTTGTCGAAGTGCCTATTCTGCTTTATTATTAGAGAGCTGCCTCGGAAGTACAGCAGCCAGTTTGTTTTCTGCCATTAATAAAGAGTCTTCCTTTTTTTTTTTTCCACTTCTTTGAAGAAGTTGAAAAGGCTCCATGTTGGGTGGAGGGGGGCCAGGAAGAGAGGGAGAAATGGAGGGAACTGACTGTGGTATAATCCCTCAACAAAACATGTTGTCTAAAGTAGAAACCTCGCCGAGGTTTACAAATGCCCAGGCTGGGCTTTAGTGTGATGTATAACAGAGTAATAAGTTAGCTACAGACTGGTCCCCCCACCCCTAAGACTAGGAAGTGTACTACCAGTAAGGCACTGCATTTCAAAATTCTACAAAATCAAATGCTTCCATTGGCCAGTGTTTCAATGCCACCCAAATATTTTCCTGAAGATATCCAGATGCTGTAAAAACAACCACAATGTATTTCTTATACTGCACTTGTATGTCTAGAACAAATACATAGAAGGATTTCAATAAGGACCTACCAATATGGATGTATAAACTACTAATGTTGACTCATGGCCTAGGGAAAGCTAATTCAAAGGCAAGGACAGAGGATTCCACAGAGTAGTCACTTGATGCTCACAAATCATCAGACACCTTTTGACAAAGAGGGAGAAACTTTTTAGAAAAGAGGGAAAGTTAAATCTGCCTACACAAAAGACCCCCAAAACACCTAAAAAACCTTATATGGCCATGACAAAACCTACAAGTTTTTATTCTCATTTACTTGACCTAACAGATATAGTCCATGATTATTTTTACACTTGTTTTGTTTAGGAATTAATTATTAAGATAACAGACTTAAAGTCACATTACTTATATCAGTAATGAAAAATTTAGTTCACCTTATCAGAAATTTTCACTTTTAAGTTGTCCATAAAATATGCATGAAATTAACTGTGTATATAACATGAAGCTATTTAATCTTAAATTTACTTAATCTCAATTAACTTCAAGTTCCACCTGCTTTCAAATTCCTACAAGTAAAATATTATATACAAGTTAATATTATTGGCTGATAATGTACTTCAACTCAGTAAGTTACATTTAGCATGCAGAGATGTGGGGAAAAGCAACATTTAATTAAAATTGAAGCTAGTTCATTGAAGAAATGGTGTGAATCATTTTATGAAGGTATCTCCAATTTTGTACTGTTTATACTAAATCTTTTTTAAAAATAAAGACATATAGGAAATATATATGTCACCTACTGTATTAGTTGGTTATTGAAAGATAAGAAAACTAAACGTGAAGATGATAGATAATAATGATACCTAAGTTTCTGCATACTAAATATGTTATTTCCAGAACTACACTAAAAGTCTATTTTTCAAATGTTTACAAAGGCCCAGGAATTTTTTTTAAACTTCTCTATATTAGAAACTCCATTTTCCTTATCCAAATGCAGTCTCTAAGGGATCAGTGGGATTTGAGTGCTAAGTTAAATGTCTAGTAAAAAATTAAACAAAAGAATCCAAGCAATCAAAATGATGCCTGCATTTGCTGCCTACAGAAATGTAGGCTGCATTGCATGTGTAAATGGCAAGAAAATTTGGGTGTTAGCTAACCCTTTATATACTGCTTTTCTGAAGACCCATCCAAACATGACAGCTTGTAAAATCGTTTACATATTTAGGGTGTATTAGGCCAAGCCTAGGCACATGTAACAGCATGCCCATTTGAAGAGGAGTTTAAGGCAGAACACACCCTTTCTAATTTCATTAGTAATTAACTTGTACTATAATTCCCCTGAGATACTTATTTCTCTTCAAGACATTATTAATGTAGCCTAATGCTTAAATGATTTAAGAAAATCTCTACACCTCTTCTGTAGCTCCACTGGAATACTAAAATGTTTGGGACTTTTATACTAAAAAAGATATTGATCCCATAAACTCTGAAATGAAATAAAATCATATTCAGATATGGCAAAATTCCAGAGTGGCTTCCTGGATGGATACTAAAAGCCTCTAAAAAATGCTATTTTGGAAAATTGATGTTTTCCTTAAAGAGATTAAAAGTTAAAAACATGCTTATCACAATATTATCAGAGCAATACAAAAAGACAAAAGAAAAATACTTCATTGGTCTTTGGTAGATATTTAAGTTGAGTGATGATTTTTTTGCTAAAAAAAGGAAGTTGAAGTTGACAGTAAATTAACAAACAATATGGAAAAGAAAACGAATCAGGCAGGGTTAGTATATTTATGTAAAACAATGATTTGCTATTTCAAAATTAAAATGTACAAATAAGCTGGTATCAGAAAGGAGATGATTCCTCATTTCCACCGCATTGAGCAAGCTCACATCGGCAGCAGACAGCCCTTAATATATGCGTCTGGCTCAGGCTGGTCTCCCTACCAGGAAGCCATCGAATTGTTAATATCATTGCTTTTTTTGTATGCAACACACATGATTTTCTCGCTCTTTGTTGTAGATCTCTCCTTTTATTTTAAGCTTAGTATGATCTGATTTTCCAAATCACATCATAAAGCCCTAAAACAATATTATTCTGTGACAGCGGAGACAGACATGCAGAAAAAGTGGCATCTGTCTATGCACATACAGCATAAAGTAGCTTATATAAACAAAGTCACCCACTTAAATCTCTACACACCTTTATGAAGTAAGAGAAGAGCTTTATCAATGAGGCTCTCAAAAGACAGTTATCATAGGGGGGTTACATAGAGAAGTTCCAATCATGTAGGATTATCAGTAAAAAAAATTTTATATGTTTATGGTGAAAATGAACAAACACCATTGCATTCTCAATTCAGCTTTGGTATATTTCTTTTATGAGACAGAAGTTAATATAAAGTGTGGTTCCTGAATATGATAACATTAAAACATTTTCACATTTCAATAACCTATATCTGATATCACTATAGCCAATAAACATCTACCTCTTACATTGTTTTGGAGTTAAACTGATGGAAACTGTTACAGATATTATTTATGAGCATGTTAAAACAGGTGTCAGTAAACACATACTTGTATGTGATATTATTTTATATAAGAAGTACTTTTAAATTCGTTGTGTGAACATTGCTATTAAACGTAATCAAGTTTCTGTGTACATGTAGTTACACATGCATAGATTTCTTTGTATTAAGAAACTTATGGTTTTAAAAAATGCTCAATTCCAGCAAGAATGAGGTCAAAATTAGTAAAAGATAAATACAACCAAAACTCTTTACTGTTTTTATTGCCTTTTTTCATTTGGAGCTTTAAAACTTGTATTTATACATACCACATACACACACCTAAAATTTCAGAACTTCTAGATAAATGAAGTAGATGATATAAATAAAGAATCTGAATAGGTACAGTGTCCATACATGCTTAAACATACTCTGCATGCTTTATATAGATGCATGTTTATGATATTATATTAATTTTTAATAACTATGACTAATAGATGATTTATATTCTGTAATATTTCAAGGTGTTATAAGAAATTTTTTAAAATGTGAACAATGATTCCATATAGTATTCTAAAACACATTCATAAATTTATTTTAACAATGCAGAAAACACATAATTTATGGCACCCATCTAAGGCAATAGTTAAAAGAATGAAGCGACTTTGTTGCTTCTATTATGGAAAGTCTGTCATCTCCATTTTGAATCTTGGTATTTGTAATATTACTGTAAAATTTTAAAATAGATTTAGTATACTGATTCCATTTCCATGAAAGACATATCTGATGTGGCAATGGCTATTAAATGTTCAAATGTGACATATTACTTATGGTTGGAATAGTAACCTCTGATAAAACTGAAATTCTTATAAAACTAAAACTATGCAGTTCATATACAGTTGCTAGTCAAAGCAGTTTGACTTCCTAGGTGGCGTTTACTGTTTTATCTCACATAGGTCCATGATATGTACACAGTAAACTGTAAAAACTAAAATATGCCATATTTTCCCATATGATTGATGAAACTTTCACTCTTAGACTCTCATAATAAGGTAATTGTCAGAATTGTTAAGACATATAAAGTACGTTGTTTGGATAGAAGACTCAGGAAAACCCTGGCACTAAGTATACAGTATAAAGCAGCATTCTTCTTAAATCGGTAGTAAAGTCTAATAGGGTCAATAAAGAAGATTGTAAATCATGTTATTTCTAGGCCTCAAGCATGATTATAGCTGTATATGACATAGGTTAAGCCATAGCTATATGGAGACATACAGAATTTATTTCAGTAGCTAATGTATAGATTTCAATGCATATGAAAAAAAGTTATAAATATAATTCCCTTTCTTGATTAACTTAAGAGATATCCTCTTACACTAGCCACCTTAAAATGCACCAAAAGCAGCATTTTATAACACTTGTATTGTAATTTTGCTTCTTACACAGATTTCTTACATTGCTTTTGTATGACTGTTATAATACAAATGCTATTTCAGTGCAACTGTGCAATCACTTTAGAGTACAGTTTCTGACAATTGTATTTTTGGGGGTGGGTCATGGTGAAAACATTGCTGATGATAAAGGAAAGCATTGTTCTTTTCTCCTAGGCAGAATCTATGTATGTTCTTTTGTTCTGGTGGTAACTGCAGACAATCAATAAGGTCCAAAGCTGCTGGTTCCCCTCCGCCTAGGTCCCAAGAGCCTGACTTGTGATGTTACTAAAATACCTCACAAGTTAGGGTCTCAGGGACTAGGAAAAGTCTGGTTTGATGCAGTAGAATTCTTCTTCCAGAAATAAGGATAGCTCAGAAATTACAGTTGGGTTCACTTAGGCTTTTACCTCTAAATACTATTTAAAACACATAAGTAGAAATATATATGATATATAAAAGTTAGGATGAGCTGAGTAATCACGACGACCATTTACAGACTAATTCCAGACCTTAAAATAATGAAGAATATGAGAAACAATGCAGACAATGAACAGTTAAGAGTCATTCCATTAGATCCAAAGAAAGAGACTAAAAATGGGTTAAAAATTGATTTGTACAGCAACACCATAGCCTCTATTACATTAAAGAAGGATTATATGCCAGTTAATGGGACCCTAATTGAAATTTTGCTTCTCATTACATTGCTATACAGCACAACTGTTAAGGTGGGCCCAGGACATATAACACTTTAAATCGGATTAAAATATATACCGTTGCAGTTAAGAGCAAAACAAAAACTTTTCTGCATGTCATAATTTAATACCTCTGAAGCTTGATTTTTCTCTTTGAATCTCCACACTATTCAGACAGCAAATATTTCCACGCATACTCTGTAGTTATTTGAGCAATGCCACTTAATAAACATGTAATTTAAAATGCTGGCAGCATCATAAAAAAAAAAAAAAACATGATTCTACTTCTTGAATAATTGAATTATAAAGCTCAGTACTTTTGAAAATACACAACCCCAATCCTGTATATTCACTGAATTTCCTCCGATCTTTTAGCCTTGTTTGTGGTTCGAGAACAGAATTTGTACTTTAGGAATTATCCAAGGTTTAGTAGCATAGAACGCAGGGTAAAACAATCGGACCAGCCATAACATAAAAGTCCTGGCCACAGAAGTGGAATCTGGTTCTTCTGAGGTAGTTGATCTTAAAAGGGAAAAGAGGAGGAAAAAAAAAAATTGAAAGAATTAGAACGTTTTCCTGTAGAACAGGTGAATCATCCATTTCCAAGTAAGCTGCAAGGAAAGCTATGCTGCACAAAATATTTGCTAACTGGCCCCCCTCCTCCACCCTAGTACCACACCCCTTTCAACCACCACCCCCCACCCCCTGTCCAGATCTTTACTCTGCCTTGTAAGACTTTAAATATTCTGCTCCATGATGTAATGCATCATTATATAAGATCTCTTTCTGTTTATCGTTTGATTTCCCATACTGAATCACTTATGGCTTAAAATAAATAGTT